ACATGACGTTCCCCCTTCCCCTAGGCTCACGTTTAGAAGTGTGCGAACCAGAGTCGCTGCGGTCTAATGTCGCCGCGTAGCCCCCTCCAAGCTGGACTAGCCTCCGGGCGTCCCCCCTCATTCTAAAATGTCAACGGGTGCGCCGCTCTGTTTCTGCGTGATTAGTTACATCTATTTCACGATTGAAAACTACACCCGGATGTCGGTCATTTCCGAGTTCTCAGCGGCTCCCTTATCCCCAGCTAATGGGAGAGGACGCTACCCATCCGTCAGGAGGGTAGGTCGCTAGTCACTGGTGAGGAGGATCGTATTTAGTGGATGCCTCCCCCCCTTTGGTGGCGCCGCAAAACCATTGTCATCGATAAGCGATTTCGGGAGTTGACTGGTCACCGATTTGTCCTCCCACCTCCTATCGCACGTTTGGGAAAATGGGAAAAGTAGTCAGAAGTTGAGAGAATCTCGGTAAATGGTAAGCGATGAAAAAGTTAGGGGATCGTGTCCCAGAAGAAACTTGTTTGTTTTTGGGGAGGAGGTGCACTGAAAGCGCCACTTCGAATCACGAGGGAATGGCATTTATCTGGCGCAAGCCCGAAATAATTTGGGTCTGTACAAAATGAAGTCCCATGAAAGGAAAAAAAAACAAACAAACGCACTGCAAGGACTCGCTTCAGTCGTACACCATTCGGAGAATCGGCCATTTTTTCAACCGTGGGGAACAGTCCAATTGCTTTTCTTATATTGAAGTCATCTTTTACATAAGGAAGTATTCTGAAAAAGCTTAAGCTGTGAATCAAAACAGCCTTATAAGTTTTGGAAAGCCAGCCAAGTCCTGTTGTTTCTTGAGAACAAAAGTGCAACAAACTTGTAACGAATATTCGCCAAGGATCGCTGGGGGAAAGGGTGCTGGATCCTGCGCTCAGCCGAATCGCTTCGTTTATAACGTAACCGTCATTCCAAAGACAAAGGTTCTCAGCCCTGATGCCCCTGATCAGGGGTGTACCCCTGATGCCGATGCCGAAGTCCCGCAACCTAACACATACTGAGCGGTGCAGAACAACCACAAGCGAGAGCGCCTTAAGTGGCGCGTTTGGCTGGCAGCTCAACAGCGTTAGGCGGACTGGACTATGGAGTCGGCGGGGGTAACACCACCAAGCCTCATTCCGTGCAGTTTGTGGAAAAAGGGCATGCCACTGCAGCTGCGGAGCCATTCACTGAGCCGCGAGTCAGACTTCCATATATGTATAGTCGAAATAGCAATTGGAGACAGTCAGTCAACCGGAAGAATCTGAAAGCATAGTACCCTGCGCGTGATTCGATCTCCAAGTAGATTCTCGGACCAAGCGTTCAGCAGCGGCGCCGCCGGCCACCAGGGTAGAGCATCGTTGTATGAAACACGGGG